CATGTGTTCAAAAAAAATGTATTCACACACATAATTAGTGAGAAATGAAAAATTCATTTTTTGAAATGTGAGAGATGGAGAAATTCATTTTGTGAAATGTGAGGGATGAAAAAATCATTTTATAAAATATGAGGGATGAAAAAATTTATTTTATAAAATGTGGAGGACTATAGATCAAATTATGTAAAATATAATTTGACAAATTTACCCTTCAAAAATGATCACGTGCCTTGCACATGATGGATTCCGGCCAAAAAATGATCGGAAACCTAGTTAGGGACTAAATTTGACCGATATAAATATGTAAGGGACATAAAATTATACTTTTAAAAGTGAGGAACGAAAAAAGTTATTTTGCAAAATATGAGAGACGTTTTGGACGATTTTTCCATAATATTAACCCAACTGGCCTTGGAAGATCAAACAATAACAAACAAAAACAAAGAAAATGTGACAAAATAAGAGAAAAATGGAGGAAGAGGATTCTGGCGGGTCGACCCGCTAGGATGAAGATTCCGGTTGGTCAACTCGCCGGAATCCCGTCAAAATTTGGAAAAATTCTAGCCAACATAACTGGAATCTCACTAGAATTCATTTTTAATGGGATTTAAGGTCGGATCTTAGCATAAACATGCTTCCCATGACCTCATGAGTTAATTTAAACATCAAACATGACCATTAAATACCACAAATCATGAGAAAAATGAGATCTAATGTGCAAAACTTATGAAAACTCATATAATGACTTAAAATCACATGCAAAACATTAAATCAACCAAAGAAGGAAGCTATATTTACCTGAGGAAGCTGGCGAACTCGAATAGGGATTAGAAATCACAAGAAAACGTGCCCTGATTCCGAAAATGAAGCAAAAAGCTTCCTGTCGCAGAGGTTCAAGAGCTGATGATCCAACAACTTTGGGCTTGAATTTGAGGGTTTTAAAGACATTTTTTCTAGAGATTTTCAAGACGAAAATTGTTGCCCTACAATCATAGATTGTGCAGCAACAAAATCTCACAAAACGAACTTCATATGAAATTAGAAAACTTAGACGAACAAGGCTGTTTGGTCAGCTCTAACTCAAAAATTTTTTGCAGAAAACTTTTCTTTTCTTACTTTCTTTTTTCTCTCTTTCTCTCTCTTTTGGCCTCCTCTCCCAATTGTTTTTCTCTCCTCTCTCCCCTCACCCCCAGATCTTGTGCAGCTGCCCCCTCACTCGTTTCCCTCTGTCCAGAAAACCTCAAACTCTCTTCTTTTTCTCTTTTTTTTTCAAACCAAAAAACCTTAGATTGTAGAAAGTGATATGTGGCTAGATTTTCTTCTAGAAACTGATGATGTGTTGTTTCTTCTAACCATTTGATTAGCTATTAAAAAAGAAGATTTGGGAGAGGAATGAACTGTCTTTTGTACTAATAAATTTTGGAAGAAAGAAAGAAAGAAAAAAAATAAAAAGAAAATGAGAAAAATTCTTGCAACTTTTTTTTACCGATTTCTGGTTTGTTGCATGGTAGAAGGATATAGCGCGAAGGCCTGATTTTTTATTTTTTTTTTTGAAAGAAAGGGAAATGGACTGATGGGCCTCTTTTCTTTTCCTTCTTTTACAGACTTCTGTTGGATTTTGCCTTGGGCTTTTGGGAGTTTTGGCTTGGATTTTGTTTGGGTTTTGGCTTGGGTTTTTGTGAAGCTTTGGCTTGGGTTTTGTTTGAATTTTTTACCTTTCTTTTTTCTTTTTTTTCGATTGGGCTAAAAAATGAAGGATATTTTAAAATTCCATTTCTTCTTTCTTTTCCTAACAAAATAACACAAAAAAAATATTACTTAACCAACAGGGTCACTTCTTTTCACCGCAAATATTGAAGTTCGTACCCCAAATAGAGCTAGTTGTGGAGTTTATATGTTTTTATACAAGAATAATAAAAATGTCCATTGCACAAAACTAGCCGTTGACGTTGCTGTTGAAAGATGGCTTCAGGTTATTGCTATAGCTTTCAAGTTTCTAAATTGCATTTTTACCTGCTGAACTTTAGTAATTGTTTTCACCTTTTAATGATTTTCAATTTGTTACTAATATAATAAGCAAAAGGGCATTTGTGGAATAAAATAATCATCTCACTCATGAAAATACTACATTGATGGCACTTGGACTAAATTTTTATATGAAAAAAATAAAAGAAATTAGGTCAATGTAATTTTTGAAACTCAGAGGAGGCTAGTGAAAGTGCCAAAAACCTCAAAGGAGGTTTCAAAAATTATTCCTATTAAAAATCATTTTCCATATCAATGTATAAATGATCAAACTCTAAAGACAATAAGCTATTAATTTTAAATCCCCTTTTAAGAATTAAAATTTAAAGATTTTTGTAAGAAGACAGCCATTTAAAGACAAACAAAAAAGTAAAAATACAAGAAAGATACTTATATAGAATTAAGGTTAAAATTTAAATGTTATATGTATTGACAAAAAACCATGTAGTTTAGCTAAGTTTTATTATTGTACAACGATTATATATTTAAATAAAATTCATAATTGTTGGATGTAAAACATTGGTCGAAAAAAATGTTGTAGCAACTAAAATAAGCCATAGGCAAGAAATTTTCTAAATTGTTTTAAACTTTTGTTTACTAGTATTTAGTAAGTGAGTATTTTTCTTTTAATTTGGGTTTCATTTTTCCTTGGGTTACATACAATATGTTTTATGTTAAATTGTATTCTTGTTGTCTTTTTATTAATTTGGACAAAACTCAAGAGGTTTTTCAGCAAAGCGTTGTCAGTTCTCTACCTTCAGTAGTGGGGTTTTCATACCGTTACTCATAAGGGGTAATTAATTTGATCAAACCATAATATTCATCTTGTAATTTGGTCAAAACTTAGGGAAAGTAGATGTAACTAATCCAAACTATTCTGATAAGTACTGGTACTACCCCGATAATTTTTGTGATAGCGACATGTCCTATTAAAGCTTCAAGTTCACAATACTTACACAAGAAGGAAAAATTCTGGTACTACCCCGATAATTTGTGTGATAGCGACATGTCCGATTAAAGCTTCGAGTTCACAATGCTTACACAAGAAGCAAAAACAAAGGAGGGAAAAGAGCATTGCCCTTTATCTGTTTACCATTAACAAAGATCATCTCTTTCCCTACTAGCACGAAGATTCGGTGTTAGGACTCAGACACGGAATAAACTTTTATTGAGAATAATTTAATGATAATAAGTTACAAGAATGAAATTAAAAGACACAAGATTTAATGTGATTGGCTTTATTATCAAGCAAACGTTCATCAAAAGAACATCTGTTCTGTTCTTTATTACGAGAGAATAAATTTTATAAAAAATACAATTTAAATCTAAACTCAATTCTTGTATAATTTCTCTCATTTTGCAAAGAGTTCTCTCTCACTTTTATATGAAGAAGACTAATGGCTCTCTTGTGTGCCACTTTATATTACGCTAACCCCCACCTATTTATATAAGTGTGTTTGGATAGCCAAATAATGGCCATAAATTATTTGCTTGCATCACAAATACAATTTGTGATAACGACACGTCCGATTAAAGCTTCAAGTTCACAATGCTTACACAAGAAGCAAAAACAAAGGAGGGAAAAGAGCATTGCCCTTTATCCGTTTACCATTAACAAAGATCATCTCTTTCCCTACTAGCACGAAGATTCGGTGTTGGGACTCAGACACGGAATAAACTATTATTGAGAATAATTTAATGATAATAAGTTACAAGAATGAAATTAAAAGACGCAAGATTTAATGTGATTGGCTTTATTATCAAGCAAACGTTCATCAAAAGAACACCTGTGCCACTTTAATTTCTTGTATAATTTCTCTCATTTTCAAAGAGTTCTCTCTCACTTTTATATGAAGAAGACTAATGGCTCTCTTGTGTGCCACTTTATATTACGCTAACCCCCACCACTCAAATAATAATAGGAAATAACTGCTAATTTTAAACTTAAACAAAATAGGAAATAAATTCTAACTTCTAAACTCATACAAATAGAAAATATTCCTTGATTACTACTTCAAGTAACTAAAACAATTAGGAAGCAAGTTACTTCCATCTAAAATAAGGAACCTGCTTAAAATAAATTAAACTAATTTCCTAATAAATATCCACCTTAACGAATACTTATTTTTTTTTAACAACCACTTGCCTTCAATTGCCAAATAATATAGTGCTGAATTACACACTTGAATCAATGTAGTTCTAATATCAAATTGATCCAATTAGCAAATAAACATGTGTATCTAGCTTGGGTCTACTGCAGGATTTTCTTCTCTTCACCACTTGCAACTTCTTTTTCCCTTTTGTAAGCTCTATTTCTAACCATTGATGCAATCAAATAGTAAAATTATCATCCTTTTTCTATCTTTAGGATTGTTTCTCCATGTGTGATTTTCAAGACTCCACCTATAATGAAAAATTTATAACGGTTAGAGTCTTTTAATACATAGAAATTAGATTCTTTTATTTCTTTACAACATACGCGATACCATCCAAAGAATGGATGAAGTTTCAACCACTGAAGTTGCGAGAACGTCTTCATTAGTTCACATCCAAAGTCGATATTAGACTCCACTTTTTCTTTAACTCTTGAATTACTTATCTAAATTTATCGTCAAGTATCTCCATGCTTTTTTCTTCCCATCCTTCACCTTCAATACTTCTTACCAAACCTTTGAAACAAGGATGTTACCTATTAATTGTTGTATTGGTCGTAACCACCAACCCACTTGATCTCAATAATAAACTAGGATCTAACCATGAACTTGGCTCTGATACCAATTTTTTAGGATCTAAACACGAAATAAACTATTATTGAGACGTCAAGTACATAATAATTTAATGACAATAAATCACAAGCATGAAAATAAACAACACACAAGATTTAATGTGGTTTCTTTATTATGAGGGAATAAATTCTATATAAGAGTACAACTTGAATTGAAACCCAACTCTTGAATAATTTCTTTCACCTCCCAACAACCTCTCACACTTCATGTAAAGATTACATGACTCTCTTGTATGCTAACCCCCACCTATTTGCAAGTAACTTTACTTGACCAACACCCCAATTAATAGTCAGAAATAACTACTAATTCCTAACTTATACAGAATAAGAAATAATTTCTAATTCCTAAACTCATACAAATAGGAAATATTCCTTACCTATTACTTCAAATAACTAAAATTACTTTCACACAAAACAAGGAATTTACCTACAAGAAATAAAGCCAATTTCCTAAAATTCAGAGGCTGATCTTTCAACTTGAGAGATTTAGAGATGAAAAATAACGAGACAAAAGAAAGATGGATTCAGCACTACAGTAGTTCCCATATGATATTGCTAGTAGGTGAAGGAGATTTTTCATTTTCTGCTTGTTTAGCCAAAGCCTTTGGCAGTGCTGCAAACATGGTGGCAACATGTCTTCATACTGAAGGTATTTTATTAGTAGTTCTCTGTTTCCATTTCTTTGTTTTTTATGTATGATAAATGAGGTAAAGAGAAACTATTTCCCAAGAACATATGCATATACACCTTTCGTTGGTCTCTCTCTCTCTCTCTCTCTATCTCTTCCAACTCGTAATCTGAATTTTTATTTGTTTTCAGTTAGGTTTTAAGATCAACATGATCCTCATGTATCTTATTTTGATCTAAATCCAATTAAACTGTTTAGCGGGTTTGATTTTGTGGCACCATGTATAGGACAAAAACTTGTCCATTGTGTGAATTCATCTTGACTAATGGCATCCATGCATTTCTGGTTTATAAGTGAAATTCGTTTCACATTTTTTATATATGCATTTCTTATACAAATTTGTTTTATTTTAAAAGCGATGTTGTGGGAGAGACATTGGACAAGCACAGCACATCTTCAGGAATTGAAAAGATTGAGAGGCCTTGTTTTGTATCAAGTTGATGTCCGCAACATGAACGAGCATCCATACCTGAAGCACATGAAATTTGATGTCATACTATTTAACTTTCCCCACGCAGGGCATTATCGATGGTTACGTGAAACAGACTCCATCCTTATTCGGTAAGTGAAGATTTCTATTGATAAAGCACACAGATGCCTTCTGCAGTTGTACATTGACTTGCTTGAAAAATTGTAAAATTTTGTAGTTATTGTATTGAAGTACTAGTGTTGTTGTAAACCAAACCCTATATTGCTATTCGAGATTATTCATTATTGGTATAAGTATCCCTTCGAGATATTCAAGCTAGCTCCAGCTTAAGAAAATAATAATGTTTTATTGTTTCTCAGATGGACTATATATTGTTAATGTCATATTAGTTGTCTAATTTCTGAATTTATGTACCAATGTTCAAGTGTTGTGAATGAAGAAACAAAGGAAACAGAAAAAAACCCTAAGGACTGAAATAGTTCATTGTGGCAAGTTACTATACAGACTCAATATATTATCTTCTCCAATGAACAAAGTGATTAAGGATAACAAAAATTCCTTTGTCGCCAATTTAAAATTGTGAAATGGCTATAAAAGGACTCTAGTTCATTGTACTTAACCAACCATTTTTCGCCCTTTGAGTTTGATCTGCATGTAATTTGTTTACTTAATTAGTAATCTTTGCTATTTTCTTTTCTCCACTTTCTTTTTGGCTCCTTTCGGATGGGTTGACAAAATTACAGGATGCACCAAGATCTGATAGCAGCTTACTTCAAAACAGCCAAAGAAATGCTGCTAGAAGAAGGTGAAATTCATGTAAACGTTAGGGATGATTATCCCTACAATAGATGGGAAGTTGAGAAGCTAGCAGAATGTGCAGGTTTACAACTGAAAGACAAAGTTGAATTTAGAAAAGAGAACTATCCGGGGTACCAAAACAAGAGAGGAGGCAACATAAATTGTAACCAAAGATTTCCACTGAAAGCATGTTACACTTACAAATTCACTTTGAAAGTGAGTGCTTTGGAGAATAGTGATGGCAGCGAAGTGTATGACAGTGCCAGCAGTGAATTCACCAGTATTACAACCACAGTGGAGGATCTACAAATTTGAGGGCACATTTAGGTTATTGCTAATAAAAGGATGGTTAATTTCTGGAAATCCTATGTGGCTATTGGCCATATCATAGACTCTGCATCCTTACACTGATGCTACGGTGGAATATGTAAATTGGTATTGGAAAAGTTAATTAATTGTCCAAAAAGAAAGGAAGAAGATTTTCATGTATTGCATGCAATGTTTTAAAAGTCGGATTGAGGATTGACCCGATTGAGTGATCGGTCCAATGTTATTGGTTCAACCAATTCAACTGATTGGATCACTAATTTTTTATATTTTTTATTGTTTTAATATTCATATATATATATATATATATATATATATATATATATGCCCACCATAGCTTGTGTTGGGCCAGCCCAAATTACCTTCGAGTAAATTTGCCATGCATTGAGTTCACTTGTCAATTGAGTCTGATCCAATTTAAAAAAGTTGAACCCATTCCATAGAGCGTCTTGACTGTTCATGACCTATTAACAAGTTAACCCATCATTTACTACTAGAAAATGCGAGGGATTTGAAAAATAAGGAATGAGTTAGCAAAAAATCCAAACAAAATTTAAACACATTAGAAATTTGAACAGTAAAAAAATTCAAAAACACCAAAAGATTTGAAATTTTCCAAGGAATTTTAGAGAAATTCAAAAATTATGAATACGTCAAATAGAGAAAAAAATGTCACTAGAATTCCTAAAACAACACATAAAATGTAGAAAAACTAGAAAAAATTTCTGCCCAAATTTGTCAAACTAAAACAATCAAACATGATTACCCAATTATCACTTTCTCAACTGAACAGAACAATAAAAGAGACTAAATGTAACTCCAAAAGAAGAAATTTTTTTGAATCATTGTTAAAATGGTGCAACCATTCCCAAAAATACAAAAAGACAAAAAAAAAAAGAAAAAAAAAACTTTGAACCACAAAAGAAAGGAAGAAACTGACAAATAAATAGAAAAAAAAAAACTTGCACAGACCTTTACACATGAAAACTAAACTCTTGGATCCATCTGACTTCTTATGTAGGTAAGTTATGGAGTTTCAGCTTTGGATCGAAAAAGATAATAGACTAAAAGGAAGAGAAAGAAGTGGAGATTAGAGAGTTTTTGACAAACTCACAAAAGAAGATAGTTTGGAACTTTGGAGAAGAGGAACATGGGTGACAGCTGTCTTTTTTCTTTTTTTTTTTTCTAAAGTTTGCTAGTTTGTTGCTTTTAATATGAATGAATGTCAATAAGTTCGGTGGGTCAAGTGAGGAAGAATACTCAAAATTGGATTCAACCCATTAATCCACAATTTACCGGTTTTAATGGATTTGCTAGTTCTCAATGGTTTTTAGTCCATTCCAACTTTAGCTTCCAACCAGACCAATTCATGGCTTAACCGGTCGAATTGGTTTGATTTTAAAAACACTTTTGGGTCAAATGAGGAAGAGTACTCAAAATTGAATTTAATCGGTTCATCCAGATTTTACCAGCTTTAATGGATTTACTAGTTCTCAATGGTTTTTAGTCCATTCTAGCTTTAACTTTCAACCAGACTGATTCGTGGTTCAATCAGTTGAACTGATCAGTCCGATCCGAATTTTTTGCATGTCTCATTTGCCCCCATTGCACCCTAAAATAGAACTAGCAAAGTCTAACCAAACAAAACTCATTCAACTTTATATAAACTGCTCTGTAACTAGGACACAATGACACACTCCTCATAGTATCAAACAAACGAAACGAAAGGAATAAAAGCAAACAAACCAAAAAAAAAAAAAAGCACGCATATAAGCTAAGGCCGCATCAAAAGTAATGTACAACACACTAGCTAGCTTGTGATGGGTATTGAAGCATTTTGACGAGCTCCGACATCAGAAACGCTGTCTAAGAGATGATGCGATGCTTTCTCAAAATTGACAAATCCCATGAACCAAAACTCGTGTCGATCAACCGTCACAATCTGAATATATTTTTCTGGTGGATTTTGTTTCATAACAACAGGATTCACATTCGCAATGTTTGCCAAAGGTATCATAACCTGTCAAATGGATCTGTATGTTAGAGAACCGCCAACTTTTAACAAGATTTAGCAACTACAGTAAGTAGATTTCATTATCATCAGAAGAACCATAGAAAAATCATCCGCATATCTATTTTTTGATCTTCTTTGCATCACTATCATTAGCTACTGCATTCTGTAGGACGGTATTAATGACATTTGGACTTGATACCACTAGAAATTAGTCATGTAATGAGGAGTCTCACAAACTCAACGAGTCTAATAAGGTCAAACAGAAAATACCTAACTTGACTGAAATCAGTACCAAAATCAAGAAAAAAAAGCTTGAAGATAGTGTTAATCATCATCTCTACAGTTGAAAACAGGCTCTTTTTAATTCTACCAATCGAACAATAATAAACCTCACTTTGTAAATTCAAGGTCCAGCCAAACATGAGACAAACTACACAGACGCAAAATCCAAACATTGCCTTAGCAACATTCAGAACAAGTGAAAATTTTGCGGGTAAGCAGTAAAGGTTTTGATAGAGTCTGAACCTGGCTCGTATTCAAACTAATGAAATCGTACCAATTGACCAAAAAACAGAGCAAACTCCCACCAATAAAGAAAAAACAAAAGAGTAGACTCCTGAATCTTTTGTGACCCGAAAGCAATTTCTACAGACAGGAGTTTGTTCTTATACCTTGTAATAGCTCCAAGTTTCTTGCCCAGAAGGAGCTCTAAAGGACAAGGGACGATCACTGCAGAAGGCCACTCGAACTGTTGACAAATAAAGAGTTCCAGCAACAGGACCTGTTGAGGTTGAAAGGTAACAAGCAAAGGTCTTCTTCAACCTCTCATTTGGATCTGTAGCAAATATCTGCTTGTAATGAGACTCAAATCCCCCTTCAGTCAACGCCTTTGCTGTCAAATTAAGTTTTCCCCATGCAGTTCCTGAAACCGATGGTCCAGTTTTCACTGCAATTACACAAAGTTAGCCCCTCTTTTCCTTTCTACATAATTCAATCATGGCAACACAACCAATCCAAATATAACAATCTCACATGTTCCCTGTATTTTACACAAATGGCATAACACAAACAACAAAAAAGCAGAAAACTCTGCAGCAAAATGAATCATCTTATTCATGTATCAACATCACTCCTCAATTCTAGTTTTGGAATATAAAACCATTATATTTATTCTCAGTATGATCAGTCATGCAATTCAAGAGTCAAAACTGCCAGCATGAAATGTCTAAGGTAAACATATCAACTTAAGAAACAGAAAATTGTATCGTAAACTCATCACTTATTCCAGTAAAAAAATAACTGTAATAGAACATCAATAAACACCTCCTCTAACCCCTTTTCTATTTTTCTAAATCAACTTTTCATTGCACATCCATGATACATCATATCCCAAGAACTGCCCAAGTATTTTTTTTTCCTTAATTCTTCTAAATACAACCCAAACAGAACTCCATAATTTCAATTCTGGGAACAAAATCCCATCATCCATTTTCTCAATACCAATCAAGAAAGCCAATTCAAGATATCAATAGTAATTTATCAAGCACAAACAAAAGCAAGAGAACAAAAAGAAAGAAAGAAATGCTATGATGGACGATCAACTCACAATTGTGCCAGATGTTCTTTGCTACAGTTTCAGCTCTATGGCTCCAAGAATTGAACATATGAATCACAGATTCACCAGGGTTCTCGCTAGGCTTGTCCACAGGTGAGTGAACAACATACGGGTGGTGCTGATTGACCCATGAGGCTGCCCTCTGATTGTCTGGATGAGTTGTTGGAGCTGCTGGTTGACCCATCATACGAGTGCCCCACTTGGCCTGATCCTCATCAGTTGGCGGAGTAGCTGTCGGAGCCGCCGTGGGAGCTGGCGTAGGCTGTGGGGGAGGATGGTTGTTCCCGGATGAGTCTGCCATGAATTTAAGACAAGACTCTGAAGAAAATGTTCAAAAGATTCTGTACTTTGGTTATGGACGGTTGAAACTTGGATATGGAAACTTCATTCTAAAGTGGATTCGGTAACTGCTTAATTGGACCTTTCGGTGATTTATAGACGGAAGATTGGGGAGCTTGGATATATACTTGATTCTCCGAGGATTAAAAAAATTGGGTCAAATCAATTACCATTTTACACGTATTCTTTACTTTTGGATTTGGGAATTTGTGCTGGATAAACTACAAATATAATATCAAGAAGATTTGAGCTACTTGATATACTTGGAATTCCTTCAATTTGATTCTTTGGGCACGTATGAACAAACATGAAGCTTCGAGGCAGAAAGAATCATCCAGTTTTGATTAGTTCAGACGTGACAGTCATATCTTACTAAACACTCATCTTAATTTCATAATCGTAGAATCATGTGGGCTTGAGGGGACCTGCAAATGTTATCGGTGCAAAAATTGTTTGGGTTAATTTGTAGTTTGATCAAATTACGAAACCTACCTTGTAATTTGAGTAAATCACAGTAGAACCTCACAAATAGCAAAACATTTATCAAATGGCCCTTGACGTTATATATCATAGGTAGTATCTAAATTTACACCCTCTCAGACCATGTCCAACCCTCAGTAATTTTGATAAAAGATTTTGCTCATTATTACTTAGTTTTCTGATAAAAAAACACACGCCTACCTCAGTTGCCTGTAATAACCAACGCAAAGTGGAACACTCAAATTTCATTCGATTGTAAGTGCAATCAACTTATTTATTAAAAATGTGATAAAAAATAATAAAAAAAAAGCTCCAGTATAAAGATATTCATTGGTGAGTAAAACCAATTATATACCACCATTTATAAACACCAGAGTAGGCAATATTCACCGAGTTAAGAGCAGTAAAGGCTTCCACGATTGGTTGACCAAAATGAGGGTCCCAAATTGCATGACCAATAGGTCTTATGTGAGTTTGGTAGATGAAAATTAAGGAAAAGGGTTAGTCTTTGTTTTTGGGTGAAGGGAAATCAATTTTGTTCTTATTTTGGCTTTGAAACTATGGACATTTGAGATAGACATGTGTCTTTTAGCCAGAAGACTGAGCAAAAACGAGTTGTGGGACCAAAGCGTAAAATTTTTATATCTGAGAAATTATTTTACCTGATTTTGAACGTGAGAGACTAAAAAAGATTTTTCCAAAATGTGAGGGACTAATTTGGCATTTTTCCCTTTCTTTTATAAACACATTTTATGTTATATAAAATACTTGCCATAGCATAAAGCATCTTCTGCAAA